ATTCTCTCTCTCTCTTTTTCTTTCCTTCTCTTTGTCTGCCAACCCCAACTGTCCCCTGACCCCGCTGCACCGCCCTTATTTCTCTTTAAATATTATCATAGGAATCTTAGGTTAAAAAACAAACAAAATAACATCTGTTTATTTACTTTCTAACAACACAAGTATGTAAACCCTGCTCTTCTGAAATCCTAAATATATAAATTTACAAAATCTTAGATGGGAAACAAGCTGACAAATCCCTAATGCCAAACCATTAGTTAATAGTCATTTTTCTCAACATTCTGAATCAGACAGACTATTAAGACATTCACTTTTAAAAATTTTATTTGTGGGGAAATGGGCAAAGGAGAGAGAGGGCTGGTTATAACTGTCTATTATTTATAGAAATAAAATTTATATGTAAATATTTTAGTCTCTCTCTCTATATATACATATACATATATATGTATATTTATATACATGTATATATACGTGTATATACGTATATTTATATACGTGTATATATACGTGTATATACGTATATTTATATACGCGTATATATACGTGTACATACATATATTTATATACGCGTATATACGTATATTTATATATATTTTTTTCACACAGACTAAATAAGAGTCCAAGAAATGAAGGGGCTTCAAGAAGGTAAAACATTTTATAAAGGTATCTGCCCTTAATTGTACTTAAAATATAAAAGTAACATAACTTTTTATAACTAGCATCTTACATAAAAAAAAATTAGAATTACATACAAATGTGTTACATTTATTAACAAATTAAATACTTTAAGTAAACATATAAATATTTAAACATTCCTAGGGACAGATATTAAAGAAGAGAACTGTAATATGTCCTGATGGCTAATCAGAACTGCCTCCAAGATAAATTATTTTTTACCTAGTCTGTTCTCTGTGTAAACATAGGCTATATGCCTAGATTTACTTCTCTGAATGTATCTTCCAATATTTGTAAATTGATATTAACACCAAACACAACTTGAAACTTTTTGGACAGTTTTTTGAATTTAGCCAAATATATAATACAGTAAAATATGATTAGATATTTGAATGAATTCACAGTTTGAATGACTCAGACACTTTCTAAGTATCTACTTAAGTTTTCCACTAAAATAAATTAAGCTTCTTCTTAAAATTAATTATTTTAGAATCATATTCTTTTTACATCTTTATATAATTTATATCAGTCATCACTGGGGCTAGCTTAATATATCTATATCTTTTTAAGACATAATCATCCAAAAGTTGAACTGTAACTGACACATAACCAAATTATAAAAATATTTTCTAGATCAAATGATTAACATTTCCACATCGTTTAAACAACAGTTTGGATATATGATTCATGGTAAGTTTTTCAACATTAATTGTTCCCAGGCAGTTCCACAGCTGAGTCATTCTAGATGACTTGTAAATGTCCCTGGTAAACCTCATACACTGTGACTTTACTAGGAATTTTGGATTGCATTTCTCTTTTCTTATTTATAACACACTGTAGTTTTATATGAAAATAAAATGGAAAATTATTTCATTAATATTATTTCAGAAATTATTTGTAAACCTGAGAATTCAAGCAATAATAACCATAGTAAATACAGCATTTAAGTACTTTTTATGCTAAGCAACTTGAATTACTCATTTAAAATGTTGGACTGCCCCACAGTTTGACTTACTCATAAACTTAGCATGCTAAGGACTTCTTTTGTTTGTTTGCTTTTTGAGCCAGGCTGGAGTGCAGTGGCATGATCTTGGCTCACTGCAACCTCCACCTCCGGTCTTTAAGTGATTCTCCTGCTTCAGCCTCCTGAGTAGCTGGGATTACAGGTGTGGGCCACCACACCTGGCTAATTTTTGTATTTATAGTAAAGACAGGGTTTCACCATATTGGCCAGGCTGTTCTTGAACTCGTGACCTCAAGTGATCCGCCCACCTTAGCCTCTCAAAGTGCTGGGATTATAGGCATGAGCCACAGTGCCTGGCAGAGATTCTTAAAAGAAAAAACGTAACTGGCTATGAATATTTTAAACATTAGCTTAATTAAGACTTTATTGTTTTTTAATTGATGGTCTGATTTATTTGTATTCTGACAGTTGAAAATCATGATTTTTTAAAAATCTAAAATACTGTTTACCTAGTTTTCTGGAACATACAAGTATCATACCCACTCATTTTATCACACTACAGCAGAGGTCCCTGGGGCTGAGGATCAGTACTGGTCCTGGCCTGTTACAGGAACCCAGCCACACAGCAGGAGGTGAGCTGCCTGTGAGCAAGCATTATCATCTGGGCTCAGTCTCCAGCAGATCAGTCACTGCATTAGATTTTCATAGGAGCACAAACCCTGTTGTGAACTGCACATGCAAGGGATCTAGGTTGTGTGCTCCTTATGAGAAATCGAATGCCTGATGATCTTAGAACAGTTTCATCTTGAAATCACCCACACACTCCAACCCACCACCTCCAAATCTGTAGAAAAATTTTCTTTCATGAAACTGGTCCCCAGTGCCACAAGTTTGGGGACCATTGCACTACAGCATACTACAGCATATAAAACAAAGGAATAAATGCAACATTAAAACATTATAAACTTAGCATCTAAAATGCTCAAAAGTGCTTTGATGATTATGCATATTGTATATGCTTTTTGTATATGCTGATTGTATATGCTTTTAAATGTGTTTACATACAAACATATATACACACACACACACACACAGACAGGACTTATGTAAAATTATTTTTACATAACAATTTACAATGTACAAATTTAATATTCAATGTTGAATTATATTACAGGGACCGAACATGTGACAACATGTAATTACTTGTGATTTTGATGAGAGAGACATTTCAAAAGTAAACGATGGTTGTGACAAAGGAGTTACTAAACTACTAATTAAACCTCTGACAATTACCAGCCCTGGAATCTCAACAGGGTTTTCGTTTTTTCTTCTTCTTTTTTTTTCTTTTTGAGATGGAGTTTTGCTCTGTCACCCAGGCTGGAATGCAATGGCACAATCTCAGCTCACTGCAACTTCCACCTCCCAGGTTCAAGCAATTCTCCTGCCTGAGCCTCCCAAGTAGCTGGGATTACAAGCATGCACCACCGCACCTGGCTAATTTTGTATTTTCAGTAGAGACTGGGTTTCACCATGTTGGTCAGGCTGCTGTCAAACTCCCAACCTCAGGTGATCCACCCACCATGGCTTCCTAAAATGCTGAGATTACAGGCATGGACCACCAAGCCCAGCCAAGGTTTTCTTATTACATTAAGTAATTCGGAAAGAAAAAAATAAAAGTTAGTAAATATGATGCTAATATCATGACACAGTAATATAACATAGCCCATTAGAGGTGGCAAACTCTATTTGCATTATGTTATACTGCGTTTAGAGAAAAATCATTAGGTGCTAAAAATAACAACTTCTGTTTACATGGAAGTGCGTCCTGGAGTACGTTTGTAAACTTGGAGATTTTCTAAAATCTCAAGACACATCTTTTATCAATGCCAAGAATTTGCTTTACAAGGACTATATACTAGATTGACAATGCTGCCACTAGATATTCACATTTTATTACATCTGTTTAAAATATGTTCAACTATCTAGAGCATAGCTTACAGTTAATCAAATAAAAGTTGAATTTTTCAACATAATTTTCATGCAATATTATTTTCAAGTGCCTATTTATTCTGTAGCTGATAATTAAGCATTCTAAGTATAAACAGCAGTATAAATTGCTGGAAACCATAATAAATCACTTTCATAGGGTCAAAGAGTCATATAGGCAATTGGCTTTTTTATGCTAGAATAGCAATGGATACTTTTTATAAGCAAAGTATATATGCAGCCAAGTAAATACAGTCATGTACTGTACAATGACAGATCACATATATAATGATAGTCTCATAAGATTATAATGAATCTGAAAGATTCCTATTGCCTAGTGATGTTTTGATGATCTTGACCCTGAATAGACATAGGCTAATGTGTGTGTTTGCATCTTAGTTTTTACCAGAAAAAAAATAAAAATTAAATTATAAACAGAAAAAAGCTAATAGAATAAATATATAAAGAAAATATTTTACACAGCTGTACAGTACGCTTATGTGTTAAGCTAAATAAATATTAATAGTAAACAGTTTAAAAGTGAAAAAATTCAAGATTCTATGAAGTAAAAACATCACAGTAATGTAAGGTTAATTTATTACTAAAGAAAGAAATTTTAAAAATAAATTTAGCATAACCTAAGTGTATAGTGTTTATAAAGTCTATAGTAGTGTACAGTAATGCACTAAGCCTTCACATTGACTACTCACTCACTGACTCACCCAGAGCAATTTTCAGTCCTGCAAGTTCCATTCATGCTACATGACCTATACAAGTGTACCAATTTTTACTGTCACACCATGTTTTTACTGTGCCTCTTCTATGTTTAGATACAAAAATACTTAACATAATGTTACACTTATCTACAGTGTTCAGTACAGTAACACGCTGTATAGAGTTACAGCCTAGAAACATCAGGCTACACTATATAATCTAGAAATATAGCAGTCTATACCATGGAGGTTTAAGTACACCTATGATGCTTACACAATGACAAAATTGCCTAATGACATATTTCCCAGAACATATCCACACTGTTAAGCAATATATAACTGTAATCTATTAAAGAGCATGTTTGCTCTATATTTGGTAAGATAAAGAAAGCAAACAAAACAATAACAAAAAACATCTCACAAGGAAAATTTTGTTTGGCCTGAGTATTTTGCAGCATCTTTGCAAGTAACATATTTTGCTTACCAGAGAAGAAGATAGTTCATATTTTCAGCATATGCATACATAATAAATTCCTGCTACGTTATAGGTACTAAAAAGCACACATTTCTAGAATTGACATAATCTGTGTTAGTTGAAGTTCTGAGATTCTGAAAAATGGCAATTATGAATATCAAAGATTATATAACCAATGTAAACTTACCCTTCTAATCTTACATCTGGCAGACTTCTGTTAAGGGCAATCAAATCACTGGCCATTAGGTTAAACTGATTGATTTTAAACAGCTCTTTCATTTTCTCCTGGTCATCTTTAGGAATCAACACAGCTTTTCCCATTTCTCCTGGCCCTTCTTGGTTTCTTGAAATAACAGCTGTAAGACATACACAGATACACACATACATACAAACACATAGATAATGAACTGAATAAATAAACTTGTGTGTCTGATTAGATTCTGAAGCATATTATTTATATACAGGCTCTATAATATAATGACAAATATTTTACTGCTTATAAACCACACACTATGCTAAGGAAAAAATCAATTCTGTATGTTGTCTTCCAAGTATAGGCATATTATATGACGACTAATCATTAAGACAATAATTTCAAACAGTACAAAATACCAAGCCTTAAAACTTGTGTCCTATTTTTAATGCACTTATTAGAGAAAAATGAAGTTGAACACTTGGCAGAGAAAATAGTGCAAAATAAGAGAACTTTTTAAAAAGCAAGATTAATTTATTTTAACAGCCAGTTAAATGTTTTGATATTTCACATATTTACTGCCATTACATCTTTATAAAGGTAAACAAAATTAATAAGGCTTAATACCATAAAATTTTAATTCCTTTGTCAAAGCATTTTGAACTTTGTCAAAAGAAGCTTCACAGTGGTGACATGTAACTTCAAACATCAAGTTGAATTTGGATACTATGTGCTCTATAACTGAAACTTCACAATAATTTTCTGGGTTTGAATATACTTTAAGAGAATGCAGGATTTGATATACAGGCTTATTTTCTCGCCTCTTCTCCCAAGGTATCACTACACTAAAGTCCCTTATAGCTGTAAAGTATATGTTTCAAGGTGCGTGTGTGTGTATATATAGTAACAAGACAAAGTTCCAGTTGGTTCAAATGTATCCTGAAATTATTCTTCACAGTGATATTAAATTAGGTTAAAGTGAAAGGAATGTATTCTGGTCTTGACTCTTCCAGTGTTTTGCTATATTTTCTAGCACATTAATCTTACTGAGTTTATTTTCCACATAAATTAAAAGGCACATATTTAGGCACAGCATACCTTGAAATACTATAAAAAATAAGGGCTACAATGCATACAAAAATATATTTTATAAGTTAGAACATTTCATTAAAAATACACATTCTAAAATAATGTATGAATATGGTAAAAAACAGGATAGAACACTTTCAGCAAATTTTCCTCTGAGTGGACCATCATAGTCACTAAACATCAAAACTGGCATTATTGGCACCAATACACAGTTGACCATCCCAATGATGATTTTGTAATGGCATGAGTCAAACTACGGAAGAGAATGGGCACCTCTAAGGACCTTTAGATATGGGTAACAGGAAAGTGATTGGCCTTGAAATCTTCTTACATAAAGAAAAATAGAACTGGAAATACTGAATATAGAAAAAAAGGTATGTATTCAGTTTTAAACTATTTAAAAAGTTGTCATCAAAATAAAGTTTACAAAGATTATCATCCACTTTAAGAAGCAAAAACAGAAATGACAGCAGGAATTTTATGAGACGGTATATTTTTCTAAATTTAAGAAATAAAATTCTAATAGAAATAATTTTCCTTGGGCTTTAAGACATGTAATATCCCTAAACTCAGATGGAGCTATTGGATTTTGCTTTGGATGAATTTGTGCTCTTGGTGAGACAATCACTTTAAAGTATCTTCCACTTCTTAGATTAAAAAAAAAATTTTTGAATCTATAGAGGGCATTAAATAAATTTGTATGTGGCTCCTTTAGGAGCCGGTAACTTTAATTCCCTTAAAAAAGGAGATAATTTTCCCCATTACAAAAAATCTTGTGATTCTTAACATTTTGAAAATTTGTGATTCTTTTGAATGATTAAAATAATTTGGGGTACATTTTTAAAAATAATTTTTAGAAATTAAGAAAGCAATTCTCTGTTTACAGTTGTTTGTAAAGGTATTGTAAGGAAATATCTTTGTAAAGGTATTGCAAGGGAAAAAACCTTCTTTATCCTCTTATATTCTGTGGTGACCTAAAAATTAAACTGGTATAATAAACATTAATAGTAGGAAAGCATACAAATGTGTTTTATGTCTTCACAAGGAAATTAAACTGGCATAATACACATTAATAGAAGAAGAGCATAGAAAAGTGTTTTATGTCTTCAGAAGGAAAATGAAGGTCAAAGAACCTTTTAGGCCCAAAAGTTTACATGCCATTTTAAATAAAGAATAATACATTGTCAGTAAGCCATAATACAAAGGGGATTTAGGCAGGGGGCTGGGGGCAGTAAATGGTGGGATAGTAACTAGGTAATATTTTGAGAACACTATTAGGAGATAAGAGTTATTTTAGTAAGCTTGTTTGCATAGGTCCATTCCAGTGTTGACTCCTAACTTCTGGTTATAAGAACAATTTTTGCTTTCTAATATAGTGGGAAGGGGTGGGGGAGATTTTTATCACGGGAAACTTCATGATTTTCTTTTAGGTAGGAAGAGGGAGATCAGAAACAGCTTTTTGCATGTGCTCTTTCTTAAAAAAGAGCCTGCAGCTTAAAATAACCCATATGACAAAGTGGCATATTTGGGGGTGCATGTTCTGATCCCCTTCACCATCTGTAAACTAATAAAAAAAATGCTGCAGAGAAAAATCACCATAATCAATATAATCCATCCAAGATTAGGAAGCAGATAGGATTAAAATTTCACCCTGTGGAAAAGACACGAGCTCAACTCTAACATCTTAAGGTATGAAGGTCAATTTAGAGAACACAGAAGTATTTGATATTTGCAATATATTCAAAGGCATCATGGCAATCTTATTTTCACTTTATGTAAGTTATTGTTTTATCAGTGGTAGTAGGAGTAATTGTGTCATGTTACATAGTAACATAATCAGTAAAATCAAAATGGTCATAAACAGTGTCCGTATACCTAGAACTACTAGCATTAACATACTGTTAATGTTGAGTAAGAACATTAGTCATTCTCCTAATCATTCTCAGTTTCTTAGTGGCGAATAGGTAACAACTTACAGCATATCAGGTTAAGTGTCTTCTCCTCAGAGTTAAAATACATTTTTCTATAACAGCTTCTAATGAATATATATTTGACATTTTAAAAATGTGTGTGTGTGTGTGTGTGTGTGTGTGTGTGTGTGTGTGTGTGTGTGTGTGTTTTCCTGTGTATAAGTGGACCTACTGCTGTTTTTCACTTTGCTCAAGCAAAAAGAAAGCTAAATAATTATGGTGGGAAACCAGCCTACTACTTTTTCCGGCTTTTACCTGGAGGAAGGCATCTTCCCAGAAGAAAACACTTCTCTAATCCTTCAAATAGCATAAATAACAAATGGGAAAGAATAAGCAATTGGGTTTTGTGACTTATCTCTGATCTGAAGCACCTTTAAATACCCATTTCTATACATTTTTCTTAGCTGTTGATTTATTTCCTCTACATAGCACTAAAAAGCAAAACAAAACAAAACAAAAAACCAAACACCTATACCTTGTGTACTCACAGAATACCATACTTTCCCATAGTAAAAGGAAAAAAACAAAACAAAACAAAACAGTTGCCATTTAAATATGTGTACTACTTATGTCCTCTAATAGGCAAATGTAATCCAGAAGGCAAGTAAATATAGATTGTGATTTCTTTATTGTTAATTTGAATATGGATGGAAATGTTCCAATACCAAAGCTGGTGTAGACAGCAAAAATAGATTAATATATTATGCTATAAGCCATTTTCTTCCTAATTATATGGTGAAAGTTTTTTAAAAGATAATTAATTTGACTCAAAATTACATTATAAAGCTTGTAGAAATATGATAAAGTGAGAATCATTTTTTATCTTTCATTTTCTTTACCACAGAACCTACTTTAAAGATTTAAATAATATTCATTTTAATCTTAGAATTCCCAACGATAAAGAAGGTGATCATCATACTATAAACAAACCAACCGATAAATCTACCAAAAAGAAGACTATGTAGCAATTGCATTATTTGCGTATGTATTTAACATTATGAACACTTTCTTATTTGCAGAATTACCCCTTTAACAATGAGCAGTGTCTATTTGAAAAAAGAGTAATGAACTAGTCTATATCTAGGAAAAAGCTTGAAGTTAAAAAAAAAAAGCAACAAAGCATTTCAAGTTGATTAATTTTAAAGTAATTATTGTATTCTGTTAGATAACATAGTAATAGGTGATGAGCTGGGCGAACTGGTTAACACCTGTAATCCCAGCACTTTGGGAAGCCAAGGTGGGCAGATCATGAGGTCAGGAGTTCAAGACCAACCTGACCAACATGGTGAAACCCTGTCTCCAGGTGTAGTGGCACGTGCCTGTAATCCCAGCTACTCAGGAGGCTGAGGCAGGAGAATTGCTTGAACCTGGAGGTGGAGGTTGCAGTGAGCCTAGACCATGCCATTGCACCCCAGACTGGGGTACAGATTCCATCTCAAAAAGAGAAAAAAAAAGTGATGAATAATGGTACAAGAATAACATTAAATCTAAATCTAAATGATATCCCATATGCCTTGCTTGTCAAAAAATTCTTTCAAATCGTATTTCCATTCTCAGATCTACTAAGTTGTTAATTTCTGATCTCTGTATATGTTCCTTTATTTTCTTTTCATTGGCATTGTAGATCTTACACTTCTATTACTTCAAATTTTACAATTGTAATAAATTAGAAACACTGACTTTTAGTCCCTCTCATATTTGAATATCCACACTTTGCTACCAATAAATCAATTTCCCTAAAACAATGCTTTTTATCTTGTTAATCAATAATCTGCTTATAGTAGACTTAAAAGATATGAAAACCATACTGGTTTTTGCACCACCCCTCCACCACCAAAATCACTTTACCCTTCACTCACCATTCTCCAGGTCATGCTCTTTTGCCAGTCCAAAGGCTCTAGTTTATCAAGGATAATTAAATGAGTAATTGCCTTTTTTCTTTGTTTTAAAAGAGATGGGGATCTTCCTATGCTGCCTAGACTAAAGTGTGGTGGCTCAGTCACAGCTCACTGCCATCTCTAACTTCTGGGCTCAAGGGATACTCCCTCCTTAGCCTCCTGAGTAGCTGACGCTATAGGAACCCACCATCACACGGGGCTCAGGA